TATACCTGCATGACTCGATGAGAACTCACGGTCGCGGGCACCACTAACTCGACGGCTACGGCGGTCGTCCCGCGGTAGAGAGAATACCTACGGCGAAGTCGTCCGAATCGAAAACAAACAACAACAGCAACAACAGAAACAAATTAATTTTTAAATTTTTTATCGATGATTTACGAATGCTTACTGTCGGAAAACAGGTGACGGACGGTAATGTCCGATACGTGTTTGTGCAGAGCATTAAAAACGTGCGTAATGGATTTTTCGTGTGACCATCGGTCGGCCGCGCACGCGCCCGCGCGTCGCACGAGCCATGATTTGTGTGACGTCCGCCGCGAGCGCTCTCTCTCTCTCTCTCTCTCTCTCTCTCGTCCCGAGACGAAATATAACGCGTTATCGTTACGTGCGAGAGCTTTGGTTTGGCCCGAGTAAACAGCGCGGTGTAACGATTCGTGGGACGGGAGAGAGATTGGTTGACGGCGGCAACAGCGGAGAAAACGTAAGACGTACGTAGAGAGAGCGTGTGCTGTACATGTCTTTTTAATTGGGTCTGGAATACGGAAAGCGCGCTCTCGTTTAATCGGCCGCCCGCCCCCGGTACACGTTCGTAGTCGTATGTAATCATTTTCTGCCGACGACGACGCGGCGGATAACATTGGATCCTCCAACCCCCGCCACCCGACGCTCGATATTGCCCCGCCACCCTTTTTATCAGCTGCTGACAAAGGCCTTGTACGCGGAGGGAAACGAAATAAAAAAATACGATACACGCTCAAAGGGATATTTCGTGCGTACATATGACATTTTTTCCCGCCCTCGATTCTTTGTTATGCGCACCTCTGAAATTCGATTATCGTGAATCGGTTCCAAAACGCGTCCGATGTCGAACCGAAAAATTTACATAATTGGCAGTCACGATGGATATTCGTCATTAATTAGCCGTGGATACGGATTTCGCGTAACAGAAGGTATGCTGCGGAAATCAGTCCTCCTATCTACAGATCGTTATCTAATACAACGCTTCTTTTTCAACCCTCCCTACATATTATTATTACATGCATAACGCCGTTTTCCATTAACCCGGACCGTGCACTAACGTCTCGCTCGGCGAGATTGATATAATCCCTGGTGTACGTTTTAACGTTGACCATGCGTATACATATTCGATCGTGGTAGATTCGATAATGCACTCGCAAACTCGATTCCGCAAAGTTCGTTAATTCACTGCTCGGACGTACTCAAGTTTTTACATTTGAAGTGTCACCGTCCCGTCAAATTTACTCGACACACGGTAATATATTGGTGATGAACACAGTTGGGCTTTACTGGAGCCGAGTACTTCGTAAACTTTACTGGAGCGGAGTACTTCGTAGCCCAACCTTAGGCGTAACTATGACGCGCTTTGATTTAATAAAAAAGCAAGCGTACGAGTGTTAAATACAATAAGTTTCAAGATAAAAAAACTACTTGTATTGTCCACATCGACTACATGGTTGCTTCGTACGCGGCTATCATCAGAGCTGTACGAAGTTTAGTGACCCTCCACTTTAGTCCTTACTTTGGTTCCTCGGAGCGCTCGCGCCCAGTAAAACATAATAGTGTTTATAATAATCGTGTCGCGTTAAAACGTCGGTCGTTAATCACTAGCAATTCTTCGTGCAGCTTGCGCTGCTGTAGTCATTCATCACACGAACTTTATATTTATGCGCGTTTGCACACAAAAGAATGGGTTGGGAACACAATTAACACGATAACTAAAAAGACATATACACACACGAAAAAAAAAGAATTTATTACATAATAACATACATATAGACTAAACGAGACAAATTGTCTTCTTCCTTGTGCCTTGCGCTGCTCCCTTAGGTCAAAACATTCTATACCATCCCAAGAACCGAACGACTTCCTGTCTGTTTGATCGTTTAATAGGCATTCTCGTGCACACAATAACAGTACGAGCAATTAGTCAACCTTTGTCGAATTGTAACAATAAGAGAAAGCTTGCAAATATTAGTATACAGCTATAATTAACAACTATACGAATAGACGAAAATTATACAATAACATATAAATAGTACCCTATTAGTAAAAATTAACTAGGTAATTAAACGGGTACGCGATATGTATACATTTTTGCTCATAGATTGAGAAAAAAATATCATTTAGATACCTTCTGACAAAATATTTCGTTCGGAAAACGCAAATGCATTATGAGATTGAAATACAATTTCATATATAATGTTTCAATAGGAGAAGTTACAAAATTTCTTGTACATTTTGCTTGTGCAAACAGCAAATGTACGGTATAAAGTTTCGACATTTATTCTTTTTTTTTTTTTTTCACAACTACATTTGTAACTACATTTTTGTACGTCCAAAACTACACTGCTATTGTGATATACATGCAGTGTTCAAATCTTGCGGTCGAACACCACATCGGTACATAAGTTTTTTCGGTGACATCATAGAACGCCTTGTAATCCTAAACCTCAAACAACCGTATCGGATTATTTTAACCAGCCCGAACAGTAATATAAGCACTATTTAGATATCGCATTATCATGTGTAAATCTAAAGCGGATACGCATCTTCTTTTCTATACTTTTGTTCTCCCGGTGACTACATACAATTTACTGTTGGTCGACTGTCGCCATCGCCGCGACACCGCAGTACGCACTAGAGTAAATCATATGCTCTGCCCTAAGTTATAAGTTATTCGAACCAGTAGCATTAGCATAACATTTATAGAACCTTTTGGTTGGTTTTTCACCCAAAGATAAAAACTTATATTTTCTATATATTCGTCATTATTGTTATTGTTGTGTGTAAGACGCCCACTAAAAATTACCCATAAAAATTGTTCTTTTGTCACACAACTGGGAGTTAAAACGTCGTACCGACTGAATCGATTCACTCGTAACGGCACGGCAGTTAGGTCAACGCGAGATTGTATTGTACGGCAGCTATACCTATTATTATCATTATCATTATTATTATTATTTTATAAATATTTCATGCGCTATTCTAGAGGAAGTGACGTATAGGTATATAACAGCAGGGTTTGCCGCTTTATACCACATTTATACAGGTACCTCTTCCGTATAGTTCTCACTCGTGTCAACCGGCTGTTGGATTGAAGCCTGACATTGATTTATTAACAGGAGCTGCAATTAAGAGGACTGGAGAAGTAGAGAGGAACTTCAGTGCGCACATATACGCAGCACCGTCGTGCAGTGCTATGTATTTGATCTGATAAATTATTGGCAATATAAACTCCGGTAGACGGGTTTTCTTCCTCTTTGTCTTCTTAACTCTGTGCGTTGTGTTTTATTTTTACTTTTTCCCCCTTCTTACTTTTTCTAATATACAGTAATTTGATTTATACCTGTAACGAAAAAAAAAAACTTCAACTAGAAGATAGTCTTCGACTTTTATCGTGACGGATTCCACACTACGAGGATGATCAACGCTGCTGCAGCCGACATTGTCGCTGTACGGTCAGGTTGGACGATTTTTTAGGCGTTGTCGTTTTGGTAGCCAGTTTCGATTAATCTTCGACATCATCAATCAAAATCTATTGTTATTTACTTTTACACCTCGTGCATGCAAAGCTTCTTGTTCGACCGAATTCATTACCTGTATTTGTACGTGCTGTCGGTCGCCGGGCGACAGAGTAATCGACTTCCCTCCACCACCCTCCTCACATTCAACCCCCCCTACCCATTGACGGGTATTACGTATATATTTTTTTCATTAATCACGTCTCAGACAATACAAATTCCATTATACTACCCGCACTGGCTCGGGTAAGTCTATCATAACAATAATAATAATAATGTAGTTTCGATAAATCGGAGGAACGGTTGATCGCGTTCGTTGTCGTCCATGATATGTACACATAATATATGAATTGTACTTATTCCTATCTCTACGTATACGTGCAGTGTACCGCAACACACTCATACTCGTCTTATATACCAACACACACATTGTACAACATAGGTACAAGCGAACCACAAGGCAGGTGCATCGCTGGACTTGCGGTCGACCGAAATATACGTATGCGCACACGTATCTCAAAGGGTTAAACAGTAAACCACAAGCGGGACCTATTTCACTACATTTATGTCCGAAATGTATGTGTACACATTCATGTATATATATTTATAGGTATACTAAATATATATGCGCACGTTTGTACGAATGCGATGCGCGCAGTGTATATGTAGTATATGTACTCCTCCTTTCAGGAAAATATAAATCCCTACCGCACGCGTGTAGCTCTGTGCGTTGGTCTCGTTGTTTGCATAGGCTTAATGGGTCCCGCCTGAGAGCGTACATAGGAAGATGAACGGGAAACGGTCGTTTTTGTTTTGTTTCGTGCGGTGAATTGAAGCCGATATGTACGTACGTCGTTCTGCGGTCTCTCGCAGCGAACGGATACCGCCGCCACTCCCTCGAAACACTCCGCCGTTGATTGATTGTCTCCCGGAATACGCAGGGACTTTACTATGCACATGTCTTTCGTACGTTTGTGTAATCCGTATGAGTAACAAAATAAACAGTGAAACGTTATACACTGTGACACGAATGCGGGCAGTTTTGCTAAAAAAACATATACATATATTTGTATTTATATGTGCGGTACGATAAGAGGGCACATCGTTAATGCATTTCGACGTCATCGTCGTTGTGTATACGTTTTTATTGTATCGAATTTCGTTGTTTTTCGTTTAATGCGTGGGACCACCAACGTAATACGGCGCGCATTACAATATATCCGGTGGAGTAGGTTTATAATATTTTATAGTCTTCAATTTATTGGTCCTATTGTCTATTAATGTACGGATGTTCGTAACACGACAACTGTATTATTATATGTATGTGTATATCGTGTAAAGCAGCCCTAAAACATATAATATCATTTTTACGACGTGCACGAGTAGTAATCCACATTTGTTCGTTTATGTTTGTTAATGTGTGATTTTTAATCGATTCCGCAGATCTGAAGAAACCGTTCACATCAGTACCGTACTCGGTGAGCGTGGAAACGGACCGAAACGTCGAGCTCCGGTGCTTGCCGCCGGACGGCGTTCCTCCGCCTAGAGTGTACTGGCTGAGGAACAACGTGCCGATCGAACCGGACAACAACATGATCGTGTCCAGCGAGGGAAACCTGTTGATCGGCCAGGCCCGGCTTCAGGACACGGCCAACTACACGTGCGTGGCTGAGAACGTAGCGGCCAAGAGACTTAGCGACCCAGCGCTCCTTACGGTCTACGGTAAGTTTGGCATGCACCTATCATTACATGCTTGCCCGTGTTTTTATACGGGTTTTTAACGTATAATGTACGACAACTCGGAGACGTCTGTAAGTCGCGTGTAAAACTAGTGGAGCGTGTACGGGTTTTCGATAATACAATGTTGTCGTCCGAGACTCGCCGATTGCCCACAACGTATCCCGGAAAAGCTTCGCGAACTAATAAACGTCAATAAAATACAAAAGAAACGTGCAGCTGATGTTCTTCTGCCGAGCGCGTTAACCTCTCCGTGGTATGGTATCCTCTGGAACGCGCGTGCAGCGACTGTACGTACCCGATCCTCGTCGTTTAGTGCGTATAAAAACAGTGCGCGTACACGGTTTATTGCCTGTTGCCCTTTCGGTTGTGCGTATATTTTCGTGATGGTATTTTTTTTCTCTCTCTCACCCGGCGCCTATCCGTTGTTTTCCGACCAGTGGCGGATCGTAAAATAAAACAGCGCACATCGACGTTATGTGCACGCACGTTTCGTATACACGCGTGTGCGTACGACTCTAAAACGAGTACGGGTCGTGCGGCGGTAGTAATAGCAGTAGTAGTAGCAGCAGTAGTAGCCCTTCTTCGCGTTTTTATACGCAAACACGCCTCGCCAATATCGTGTGCCCGTCATAATAAATTTACATACACCATGACCACGCACGGTGTGTGTGCGTTGGATTTAACACAATGAATCTCCTGTGAGACGCACGCACTCGCTCGGGCAATACTCGCGGTCTCGTATTTTCGATCAGTCATCGATCTTGTTTATCGGTAGGGGGAAAAAACGGCGTATCTTTTCCTTTACGCGGCATAAGTTTCAGATTTTGTTTCGCCGTTTATTATTCATAAACTAGATTGAACTAGATTCTATACCATCGCGCGAAAACCACTTTTCAGGTCAACGACGTAGAAAACGCGTTGAAAAACGAAAAACCGTTAACATTTTACCTGTATAACGACGTCGCAAAATATTTTCACATTTAGTTTTTCCCCCATTATCGTTTATACCTTGGTTATTAACTATAAATCCATTATAATATATATTAATTTAATTCAGTTCTAATCTTTATGTTATTACGCTTAGTTTTTTTTTTTTTTTTTTTGTTATATTTCAAAATCCATCACCTTTCCAATTGATTTACCGAAATCAAGTATCATCAAGTAAGCTATTTTTTTCCTCCACTAATTGACAGTGAATTGATAAGTTAATAAAATTATATCAATTTAGTTTTATCGACGACATTTCACTATACACATATAACTTATTCAGTTATATATTTGTGTGATTAAATCATTTTTTTGTTATTTACCAAAACACTCACAAATCATTACAAAAACATTAAATAAATAAACATAAAAATAAAACTTGAAGTATAATACTATACTTTATTTGAAAAGTTGTAAATAAATATTTTTATTTCTCTTACCATTTTATGATGATGGTTTTTAACTATTATTTTAAATGCAATAATTTTAAATCTGTGAGGTTATCCTATCAGTCGATACTTTAAAGAGTTTCTTTTTTTTTATGTCCAATTCTAAATTTTTTTCTTTTTCTCCTTTATTTGACAATATATATTAGTTTGGAATATACTCGTATATGGCTCAAAATATTCTCTAATGAAAACAAATTGTTTTACATGGTATTTGATATAAAGTTTTATTTATAGACATAATATTATTATACTCGATATCAGATGATAAAAATAAAAATTAAGTTTCAAAAATTACTTGTGTATTATAGTATCATTAGAGATCATACATCTCTGTATAATATACCCCCATTGAAATAGGTAACAAGTACAAAAAGAGCGTAATATATTTTACTTGATATTTTCGGTGAATTACATGGAAAATAACCATATAGAAAATTATTCCAAACATAAAAAACATGTTTTACCTCAGTCCCGCCTACATGCATGCGAATATATCCTTATAAATAAAACGTTTCACCAAGAATATACTAACGGACGATTTGTATTCAAACGTTTTACCCGCTCGTATTTCATGGTTTGCCTTTATACAACCCACCACTGCCACTGCCTGTAGTATTTCTATCATTCGAGGTAAATCTTAGAGGGTGAGCGGGCAACGTCGTTTTCGCAGAAAAACGACTCTATTACCGTGACTGGTTACCGTGGGTTCGGCGATGGGTATACGGTGTGGATTTCATTAACTCGACGCCGTACATAAATATTCATCAGAAATTAATGAAATAGAATGATAAAAACAAATGGAAATCGTCTGAGTAAGGTTCCATCCATTTTTTCCTTTACCAACACCTCGACCTCCCGCACCCTTGATAACACCCCGCCCATGACATTGGGATCGTTAATGAAACCCGCAAACGGCCGTTGCATACTTAACCCCTCCTATAAATTTTGTTACTTCATAGAAGAGCTTATGAATATTCCTTTACAACGGCTATTTGTTATCGATATTGGACGTCGTTTGGCAGTACTCTCATCAAGTCCGACTTAAAGGATTTGTGATCTCTTCTTATACATAAATCGAAAGTAAGCATTTCCTCAAACATAAGCTTATTGTTCCACATATACAATATACTTTTATATATGTATATATGTGTGTGTGTGCTTGGTTATTTGGTATCTTCAAGTTCCCCACGCTGCGTCGTGCTATTTAAAATATACCTATGCATGCAGATGGATTTGAATATGAATATTAACCCTTTCTGTATCCTACCGCACCATGGACTTAGCAAAAGCCGAGTCTTTCAATCAGCTCGCAGACGAATCATGGTTCCTTTAAATATTTTATATATTTTTCTCTCCCCCCCCCAAAGTGATTGATAGAGTATTTTGCATAACGTAATAGATATAATGCCTTGTTTACGGGAAACGTCCGTTTTCCCTAGATACACCAACCTTCGGAAGATATATTTGAATACATGATCCATCAGTTTTATCGAATTCCAAAACAGGTATTTGCAAAAGATCGGCGTAGGGGAAAATGTAATTTAGAAAAAAAAACCGTCTAAATTAAAATGTTATTAGGTTTTTTTTTTTTTTTTTTGTTCAGGTAATAAACCTCGTTTATTGGGAGCAAAAAAATAAACATCAAATAGAATGTCGGGAATTAGAAACTTCCATTACCGTTTCAATCTGCGTAATGGACTTAGTGTCTGCTATTAAATATTTTTCCCTTTTATAAAAATAACATCTCATTAAATTAATTTTTATATTATTTTTACTATAATTTATAAAAGATGACTCTGTATTTGTTAGACGCCAAAATATTATATATTAATCTTGTAATATGTATTGTGAGTCTTAAGGCTTATATTTATAAATTTCAATCAAATAACCTATAATTTTGTATAATTTTCTTTAGCAACTTTTAATATCCCATAAATAATTAATGACTCAGATGCTGTAAACACTATTCTAGTACAACAATACTGTCAATTATGCATAATATAAGTATATATTTAACAAAAAAATTCGTTTTTGACATGGATGTTTAGGTTTTCAATCCTCATTAATTCTCGTGATTGAAGTAAATGGTATACTCATAATTTGTAACTTCTAATACTCAAACAGTTCATAGAGTTTGTCTTGTTTTCAATTGAATCACGCTCATTTATTCGAACAAGAACCCGTTTCAACGCGTAGGTAGGATATCGTTTAGTGAAACTCATCAATACCGAAGGATAATCTTGCTTTTAATGTAAGTACATATAAAATCCGTATTTAAATGGTTTTTCGCTATTATAAAACACATAATGACTTATGAAGTAAACATCGTAATTGCTTTGTGATCACTCCAGGTACTAAAGACGATTGAATTTCATGAAAAAGTCCAAAAACTATTTGATCTGATATATGTGATGATAATGTTTTTAGTTATAATATTTTGGTATAATTTATATTAAAACACATTAACTGCTGTATTTATGCTGACCAACACAATTTTATTTTAAAAATATTCATATTTACGATAAAATATAAAATATTTACTTCAATCGTGGTTTGTTAAAATAATAATTTACATCACATTATGTCGATGTGGGCCAATTTCTTACATAAATGTTTTTAAATATTTAAACTATTAATGTGTTATTTACTTATAATTTTTTTTTTTTTTTTTGAACCATAATGATTTATGTTATAATAACAATGTGTTACGAAAATATAAAACGAAAGACGTGGATAAACTATGCATATACCTATTATTATGATTTATGGACCTTATATGTTTTACAATAAAAATCGGCCAAGTAAGATCGAAATTATTTCTGTCATAAAGTATGAAACTATTTGTGTTATAAATTATAACATACATAGTTTCATGATTATTCACAATTTATAACTTATAATAATAATTTTAGAACTACGGTTTGAGTAGTTCCTAATGTAATTTTTCTTGACACACCCGTCATCGTTGTTATTACAGAGCGGCATTAATACTCGACTTTCGAAAAGGATTGCTCTTGCTGATATTTTGGCTATACAGGATCGATACATGTAGTAAAAAACCACAAAATTATCGAATGACTGTTAGCTCTCATTTTCTAACCTGAAGCTGAGTTCATATGAGCCATTTTATTTTATTTTTTATTCTTCCAAGATTTGTACATATTTTAGGTGTACATTAATAGGTGTATTAAAAAAAAAAAATTGCCAGGAATTTAGTCCCTTCGTCGTTGCCCTTGATTACAATGCGGTGACGAGACGGTAGAAATAAGTGGTGATGTTGGTGACGAGGGGCAAGGAAGGTCGTAAATTACGTGTGGCCAGGCCAGAAATAATTAGCACGTTTTATATGCGCTCCGACGACGATGACGACTACGAATGAAGTGTGGAAGTTCGTCGAGTTGTGACTTTTATGCGGTGGTGGTAATTGAAAATCCCTCGATTTATTATTATTTGTCCGTATGACATGACGAGAAACGATCCTTGTATAGTGTGTGTACATAGACGTGTTTATGATCGAGAGGACACGTATTCTTGCTTGAATATCAC